TGCCAGGCTGTCAGGAGGCATCTCCGTCACATCCTGGCTGTCAGGTATCAGCACAGGGAGCACTAACCTCTCCTGAGCTTCTCCAGACACGGACACTTCCCGGCTGATGGCATCACAGGGATGATGGGCACACACTTGTCAGGGCCTGTGGCAGCTTTCCCTCAGCCAGGGCTGCAGTGGGGGTGTGGGATGCACCCCATCCATCCCTGCTGTGTTTTATGGGACACCATGTGGCCTCCAGCAGACAACCAGAGCTGAACACTGGCTCAGTGGTCTCAGCTGCTGAGGAAGGCAGGCAGTGCTTGGTAAGAGCTGTACCCTCAGCACAAGCCAAACCACAGTGGATATATCCCAGCAGTGATGCAGACCCCCTCCCCATCTGGCCATCACCACCAAACCACAGCCAGGATCCTCCAGTCATGAGAGAAACCCCCTGGAAGAGGCAATGGATGAGGACAATTGCCCATCCAGAATGACACCAGCTTTAAGGGCACCCCTGAGGCACAACACAACTCCTCTCAACACACCATTTAATAGAGCTGTGGAGAGACTGCAAGCTGCACAGTGGCTGCACAAAGCCTTCCAGTGCCACACAGCACCACATCCTGCCATGGACATGGCACAAGGGTTTTGTAACCAGCTGCCAGCTGTTGGAACACATCTGCTAGAACAGCAGCAGCAAGAGCTCCCCTCTCCCAGGAGAGAGGATCTCACCTGGGTCTCCAGGGGAAGCAGCCCTTGAGCAGCAGAAGAACAGTCCTGCCTTTCCCATGGCCCGTGTCACCCCCTGCTGCAGCAGAGGATGGGGGCAGGGGCATTTATTTTATATTTTGCAGGCCTCAGGAAAAAGAGGATTTCAGAGGGATTTGAACACAGGTCCCTAAATAGCTTCTTAGAATTAAGAGATTTCATAAAGGATTATTTCAAGCAGCTGCCTGTGGTGCGGAAGTGAGGGGACAGAGAAAAGGCAGGAGTGCTGTACATGAGCACAGGGGAGCACAATCCCCTTCTGAACTAGAGCAGTGAGGAGAGGAGAGCAATCCACACCCTGGCCATGTACCCTCTCTTCTGGGTGAGTCAGAAGGAATGAGGAGCAGAGGGGTGGTCAGCAGATGTGGTGGGAACAGGACAAAAGCAGTTCCTGCAGCCAGTGAACAGACATGGCTGCTTTGACAGGCCCACCCACAGTGGCATTTCAGAGGTGTGGGATCAGCTAAAGGGGGTCCATCAACACCCCTGACTTCTCACTAGATGGAAAACCTTCTCACTAGATGGAAAACCTGTGTGTGGAGGTGGGAGGGCTCTTCCAGCTAAGGATGGGATGAGTCTGAAATGCTGGAGAAGGGGATCAGTCCATCAGACAGGGCAAATTCCTACCTGCAAGGTCATGGGTGCCAGACTTCACAGATCCAAATATTCGCGGTGGAAATAACATAGTGCAAAAACAGGAAAGGCCACAAAACCTTTCAGAACGGGCACAGCTCTGTGCACACTGGTGGAATGTGGGCTGGAATGTCTTTCTAGTAACACCAGGAGATAATATCCCTTGGCACAGCATTTTTTGGTGCAAAGAGGAAGAGAAACACCTGGAACTTCATGATAACTTAGGTATTGGGATGGAAATTGGGATGGAATTTGGTTCTTAGGGACTGGATTCTGTGAAAAGCTGGGCTCCTCTGTGGGATCCTGGGATCCAGCTTTCCAGCTTTCATGGGTTGAGCATGCACACAGTGAGAGGCTAAGCCACAGGCATGCAGGAAGGAGCTCTAGGGTGGAAGGAAAGCACATGAGAGAAACAGGGAAGAGAGGCTGGTGATAATAGAAAGAGATAAAAATGAGGAAAGAATAGAAAGGAGGAGAGAAAGGAGAGAGAGTTGCAATTTTACAGTAGTGGAACTAAGAAAGCAGGAGGAAGATAATCTTCTGAGGAAGATAAAGCTGAGGTAGATAATTTCCACTGGACAAATGATACCAGGGAAGGACAGAGGCAAGAGAACAAAAAGGAGCAGGGTAGGAGAGAGAGAGAAAAGGAGAAGGTCACAAGCAGAAAATGGAGCAAATGGTTAAATCTCATCAAATATTGTTATTATGAGCAGCCCCTGCTACCACATCTGGAACAATGTGCCACAGGCAAGGCCACAGGTCAGAGAGATGCTGGGCTAAAATTGTAGCAAACAGGAATTGGGGGTTTAGAGATTTCCTCTGCAACCAGGGAAAGAATTTTGATTTCTGGACCCTTCCTTCTCCACTCCCCTGGAGGAAACAAACTTTGAGCAGCTCTGCCAGTAACCAAGCTCGTTGGCCAAGAGACAAAAAAATTACCACTAACACTGATTTGTTCCTCCTCAGACCTGAGGTGTCCCAATGAAGTTTGAAGAAACAAAGTCTTCCATGGTTTTATGGCCTCACTCAAAAATTGAGTCCATTGCCCACCACCCACCTGTGCAACCCTCAGTCTGCATTTGAGGGAAGGGAGGTTAAGGGACCTGGATGCACAGGCAAAAGCAGGTCTCTTGTAAGGGTAATTACTGCAAAGTTTAGAGCTTAAACATATTTTTTGTGCACAGATGTCCCTCTTTAAGGACATACATGTTTATAAAGAGTGGTTTCCTTAGTGCCCCAGTTCATAAAAATAGGTGAAATTGGAATAGAAATGTTCAGCTAAGTGGCACAGACAATTAAGGGCAAGGAAAGATGACATGTCTGTAACTGGCTGAGATTAATAGTGATGAGCTATGATTGCAGCTTTCAGTGTTTGGCTTTTGGCTTTACAAGACTAAGCCTATAAATACAGCATTTCCTCATGTCTATTTAACAGCTGCAATTTTTTTGACACAAACACTGCAACAATTACAGGTGGGACAGGGCGTGATCTCAGCCCAGGGTGCTGGAGACCACAAAACATGCACTTAATGGCCACAGCCATAACTGCTGAGAACCATGCACACAAATACAGACTGGTTACACTTCTGAAGCAACATTAATCAAGATGCACTGATGAGTTGGCAGAGGACCCACTCCCAAAGGGGTCTGAGCTCAGCTTTCACCAGAAAACTTCTTTCTTCCTTCTGCTACTGATCCACAAGCTGGAAGGCTGGCAAAGAGTAGGTTGGCCCCATGCTCTGGTGAGTCACAGGGGCAAGCAGCACAGGGCCAGCCTGCAGCATTCTGAAGCTGCTATTGGAGAGCAGAACAATTGTGCAGAGGCTCATCACGCATCTGTCACCTGCAGGAGGACACCTGGGGCACTGCAGTGTGTCACTTCTGAGACCAGACTCTTTGGCAGGAAAGATGGGTGTGATGCACCTTTTCTTGAATGCTCATTTATGAGTTTGTTGATTCTGATCTAAAGCTGGGAGTGTCAGCAGGCCTGGCAATGCTGTGCCAGGGGAGGAGAGAGACTAATCAGCACTAAGCCACAGCAAGCGTGCTCATCAAACACTCTATGTACGAGGATGTCTCTGCGTGGGGTCACTGGCACAACTGGGAGTGTCACTGTCACACCTACACGTGGTGCTGTGACAAGCCACCTCCTTTCACAAAGCTTTACCACCAAGAAATGTGCTGCTGTTTTAGGATGGCTCTGAAACACTTCACAGCCTTCTCCAAGGTGCTGCACTCTTCCAGCACCATCTACAAGAGCTCCCAGCCCTCTGTGGTTTGTGTGTTGGGAGCTGGGATGTGCCAGTGACTGATCTGGCTGAACAAGGGAAGGCAGCACTGCTTCACAGGGGTGGGTTTAACATGGTGGTCACATCCTGCCAACTGCCTCAGGAATTCCTGCATTCCACCAGCTGGGGTTTAGGAGTGGCCGCTTCCTGAAAAAGCTATAAACTGAACCACCCATGGGCGCCATGCTCCATCTGATTGTTTCCCATCCAGGGACACAGCCAGGGAGGGTGCTTGGCAGGAGCTACCCTGGTTTATCCTGGATGGAGATTTTCACAGTGCTGGAAAATCTCTTTGTGACACAGCCTTGCCTCTGCACCAAGCTTGTTGTGATCAGTGTGGGAGACTTGAACAGCCTGTAGCAAAGAGCCCTCCATTTACCCTTTTAGCTGCTTGTTAGGGTCAGGGTGTGGCTACTGCATGCAGCTAGAGAGGGCAGGATGCTCCAGAAAAGAAAGGTTGACTGCTCTGCTGGGCTCTGGCTCACAGTGCCAGCCCCAGTGGATGCAGCAAACATGTCTGGAGACTGTGCAGGGATGAAACATGGCACTGTGAGCAGCACACACTGTCCCCAAGCCCTTCTCCAGGTGTGGGGTGATGTCCTACAGCTACCAACAAGCAGGACTTCTCACTAGAATCCCTTGTTCTGCACTAGAACCCTTTGCTCTGCACATCCCCTCCAGTTATGTATTTGCTGGTGTTTTATGCTCCATCAGCCAGCAGCCATCTGGGATTTGAACCTAGTGATAGCAATCTCTCTGGGGTGAAACACAGCTGTGTGCTGGGGGATGCTCTGTGGAGCTTCACATGGAAAGGCAAGAAAAACAGAGAAGTGGATAACAACCAGTCTAAGCTCTCCAGAGACACCACCTCTCCTCAGCAGGAGGATGATGTGGGCACCAGCTGCTTCTCCCTGAGGGCCTGGACCAGGATGTTGCAGGATGGAGGTGGCCACCATACAATGCCCTGGACAAGGATGAAGGTGGTCACCACACAATGCCCTGGACAAGGATGGTGCAGGATGGAGGTGGCCACCACACAATGCCCTGGACCAGGAGGTTGCAGGATGGAGGTGGCCACCACACAATGCCCTGGACAAGGATGGTGCAGGATGGAGGTGGCCACCACACAATGCCCTGGTGGCAGCTGGTTCAGGGCCTTGTTCAGCCATGCCAGGAGGAAGAGCCACGAGCAGGTTCCTCCACCAGGTCCACCGGGACAAAGGAAAGCCACCGCAGAGCCAGGGACAGCCAGGTGTGCCAGAGGAGCTTGAGGGACAATGTGGAGCTTTGAGCAACTACAGGGCAGAGCGAGGAGCTGGGGCTTTCCTCCTACACGGCGGCGTCCGAGATCTTCCCATTCAAGGATGTCTTGGGCTGGAGGCCGTTGTTGTGAGCGTGCCCCTCTGGCCTGGGCTGGGTCATCTGCTGCAAACGCTGCCCAGGAATGAAAGGAGAGACTGTGTCAGCCAGGGCTGGGACAGCCAGGGCATGCATGGCAGCAGTGAGGGGTGGGATCCTCGCCACATGGCTCAGAGGTGACCCTGATTGCAGGGCAAGGGGATGGTGCATGCAGTGACTCCTCCAGCAGCATTTGGTAGTACCCCAAAAGCCTCTGAGAGTCACCTTTGCTTGGATGCTGCACACAGCACAGCAGCTCCTCCTTTTATCTGAAACATCCTGATAAGAGGCAAACTGTTACCAGGCAAGACCGGCTGCAAGGAGGAAGGAGAGCTGCAATGCCACAGGCTTCAGAGAAAACCTATTTTTCAATTAGGGTTGATTACAGAGCATTACTAAGTAACTACAGCAGGTTAACAAGGTTAGAGTCTGTGCCTTTGATGTTGATCAGAACATCCACCTGCACAAACCTTTGCACAGCAGCAACTCCTGCCGCCCTGAGCTGATCAAATGGAAATTGGAGAGTCAAGTAAAGTGAAGCAAGGACCCATGAAAATATGGAGGGGCCAATCATTACTGGAGGCATGTGGATTGAGCATCGGGAGTGATGAAAAAGAATGAATCACTTTTGCCAGTCAGGGAGGGACTGGTGCTGTGCACTGCAGAAGAGAATGCAGAGGGGGATTAAGCCTGACCTGAACAGACATCACTAAGAGAAGTAGAACCTCTTTCCAGTAAAGGGGAACAAACTCCTACCCTCCAATACCACTGAAGTGCCTGCTTCTGGGTGAATTCCCTGAAATGTTCACTGAACTGCTTCTGCCATTCATTGTATTTTTTCCCCTTTAACATTCAGGCTCAGTAGGATCAAAATGACTTGTAATCTTTCCTGTCTGTCAAAACCACTTTATTCAGGATTGGCATCTAATTTCCCTCCAGCTCCAGCTCTATTACAAATTAATCCAGGATCTGTGTATATAAGAGGCCAAAAATTCTCTCTGTCTCTCTGATATCAACACACGCACACACAGATTAGCCTACTTTCTTCCTGCTGCCATCTGCTGCCCGCTCCTAGGTCTATGAATGATTGAGAGGGGGTCTGGGTCTCGTGATGTTCATGAAGAGTCAGACAGGGAGGGTGCACATCAGCCACTCATGCTGCTTACTGGTGCTGATGGTTTGCACAAGGTGCTGAAGGGAGGGGTGGAAACACACTCAAGACCTTCCTTCCAAGCTCCTGGGGCAGCACAGGAATACACAGCACTTTGGAAGGACTGTGGATATAATTGGCACAAGCCTTTGGTCAGGAGGAGTCGAGGTCCCAGAGCAGTTTGGGCTCCCCCAGATGCTGCAGTGTGCTTTCCCCATCTCCAGTGAAACAGGGCTGGCACCAGGCAAAGGGTTGAACCTGTACTTTCAGGCTTCCCTTCCCTCCTTTTGCAGCTTACACGATGAGTGAATAGGGAGCCCTGTAAATGTCTGAGAAAGGGCCTACAGTTGGAATTCAGTTGGCCTTCAACCCAAAGTCAACAAAGTGGCTTGACATAATACCCTGGCTTGAGTTCTGCAGGAAGGACAAGTACCTAAACCCAGCTTCAGATGAGAAACCAGAAACTGAAAGCAGATCTGAGATCCCTAACCCACCCAGTTCACCCACATCAGAGCCTATCCAAATGGAATGCTGGGAGGAAGAAAACTCAAATCCACCTGCAACTTCACCTCAAAGGTAGGGAACCTGAAGCTGACCTCAGCCCAGTAATTCCAGCCACAACTTCTTTGAGTCAAAGTTTGTTAAAAATACAGCATTCCTAAAATAAACTCATGTGATTTAGATGGCATCTGGTTGCTGTTCCAGCTGGGCTGGGAAAGCCATAAATCAACACTCCTGGTGTGGTTTCTTACAACTGTAAGCACTGAAGACAGGGATTTGGGGCACAGTGCTCTCTAGACTGAATGTCAACACTGTACATAAAATCTTAGTAGTAAGTACTGGGTATGACATGGAGGCTCACTGCATTCACTGCTTCAAAAAATCCTGCTCAAATTACTAAAGAAAATGTTTTAAACAAGACTAAGGTGGTGGGTATTGTAGGTCTTTCTTGCTTTCTAATGCCTCAGTCACTGAGTGTTCTCTGAAAGGCACATGACAAAGCACCCCTGGGCTTGTTTCTGCTGCTAGCAGAATGCCTGAGACATTTCAGGATTCAGGCTTGGAGGTGCTGATCTCCCTGCTGAGGAGTGCCAAGTAAAAATGCTCATAGCCAGGAATCCTCAGGAACTGGGATTTCTCTGGGTCAAGAAACCTCAAGGATTTCTTCCCAAACTCTTCCCTGGCTCCAGTACCCCATGCCAAAGAGATACTCAAGAGATGTTCAGTGCACTGGGGCTGATCTGAGCCCTCCCTCTCTCTCCTGGCGGAGATGGTGCACAGAGCTCCTGCAGCACCAACCTGGTGCACTCTGATAACTCTGTCAGAGCAGAGTTATCAGTTCAGGGAGGAGCTCAGCCTGGGCAGAGGGAGATGAAGCTGTTCCTACCTGCCGGAGGGTCCCTGTTGAGGTGAAGAAGGAGTAGAGCATGTACCCTGGAATCAGAAACATGGAGGACAGGGCCATGAGCCACCCGATGCCTTGGCCCCACACGGGGTAGACGTACTTGCCCAGAGTCAGAGGGGTCATTTCCACCACACTAAAGAAGAACACACCCTAGAAAAGAACACCAGCCATTGCAGGGGAAAGTGCAAAATCAGCACCCCACCATTCTTTCCTTCATTACCTTCTTAGCTCCCAACAGCTCTTCTCATTAGTCTGATTCTTTCAGCCCACCAACTCATATCTCTTAATTTCATATCTCTTCTTATCCTAAGCTGGGTAAGATAACCTAAGCTTTCCAAAAAGATGGAATTGGAATACCCCATATTTCCTTCTTCCCTAGACTACTCAGACAAGCAGTGCCTCCACAGAGGTCCTATGCAAGCAAACAGCATCCTCACAGCTGGTATCAGGAGTCTTCATATCACACCACTCCCTGCACTGCTTCTGCTGGGAGGGCAGGAGCCTGCAGAGGCCAAACTGCTCTGCAGCCAGTTATCCTGCATTTGGTCATGGCTTTTGTTCTCATAAGCCTGCCAGAGGCTGAAGCTGGCGTAGCTGAAAGCCAGAGCTGATAATAGCTTTTTGAAACATCACATTATTTTACTTATCATCTCATATCTCAAAAAAAAAAAAAAAAAAGAAAAAAGAACCGATGGCCTCATTTAGATTAAAAGCAATCATCTAGAACTTTTTTATGGGTGATTTCCAGCAGGCAGAGTGAAAGAGCCTCTTCTATCACTTTACCCATCTCCAGCCTGCCTGGGACCCCCTTGCACCAGACCTGCCCTGGGCTGAGAACAGAATGTTTCCCTACTGCCCATCTAGAGACCTTTCTAGACCCACTCCTGCACAGAGGATTCCCCAGGTCTTACCAGGCAGACAAGAGGGGTGAAGAAGGCCCAGCAGATCTTCCACCAGATGCAAGGCTTGTAGCCAATCATTTCTTCAATGTTCCTGTAAAACCTGTTCACACCTACAAGAAGAAATGAGTACTGAAAGAAAACCCCAACTCTGCACCATGGTATTCATCTCTTCTCCTGGCAGAGCACGGGCCAGGCACAGCAAGAGGGTGACAGGGTGGCATGAGAAGAATTAGCTGGAAGGGATGGGGTAGTGGGACACAAATTCATGCTAACATCTTCCATGTTCCTGATGTCCTCTTGTGCTGAGGTTTTGTGAGGGCCTGGAGAAGTGAGATTACACCCTTCCACTCCTGATTTTCTGAAGTTATCAATCTAAGCCATTTTTGGCTGCAAAGTTGTCATTGTCTTCACTGGTTTTGGCTTTTTCAGTAAGTCACCATGCCCACAGAGAAAACAAAGGAACAAGGTGTTTTGTGCTTACCATAACACCAAGAAATTGAGATGGTTTCAAAGAAGACAAGAAAAAGAAGACACATGCCACTGGCTGAGTAGTAATCAAACAGCTTGAAGACATAAATGCCACCCTGAAAAGACAAAAACGGGGTCAAGGAGTTCAATTGTAGATTATGATCAACAATATCAGCCAGCAGCTTGGATTGCTACTGTCCATGTCTGTTGGTTGAATGTCTATTTCCTTGGACAGCAGAGCCACTATTGCAATGCTTCCAGTGGAAAGCAAAACCCTTGCAGACAACTCGCCAGCCTGCTCAGGCATACCCCAGGGTGAGGAGAAACCAAATTCACTAGGATCTCTTCTATTTCTCTGCTTTAAAAGGAGTCATTTTAGTCTGCTTTGCCTCTCCCTGGAGTTTTGCCTTGCCTCCTCGTGAACCCACACAGCTCCACAAATGGTCTCCAGACCACTCAGCCCTCACCTCCCATCACAAGAACTTCAGCTTCAGCTCCAGAGGTTCAAGCCCACAACAGACAGGCTTTCTTTGTGTTATCTTAATTATTTGAAGTAAGAATTCCCTAAATTTGGGCTCTGTTGGCTTGAGTCCTCAGTGCAAACAGCAGAACAACAGGCCAGACTGACAATAGGATGATGGTAAAAATTACGGAGGCATCCTAAGTCACTTGAGATGTAGCAGTGATGAGCAAACTACTTCACCCAGAATAGGGGAAATGCTGTCACTTCTCCAAAGCTTTGGTGGGGCTGTGAGATGCCAAGTGGCCAGAAAGGAGTCAGGAATGGAGGTACAAGCACAGCCTGTGCCATCTGTACCTGGGTGATGTTGGAGAATCCGATGAGATAAGAGATGAAGCAGACTACTGCGATGAAGATCTTCTTCCTGGCTCTTAGGACTCGAGGGTACTCATCCATCAGGGCTGTAATGAACCCTTCCACAGTGCAGAACTGTGGGAAAAGGCATACACTGAGGATATATATATATACACTTATATATATACACACATATATATATACTTATATATATATAAGCATGATATGCTTATATATATATAAGTATATATATGTGTATATATATACTTATATATATATGTGTGTGTGTATAGGTATATATAAGTATATATATACACACTTATATATATATATCTGAGGATATATATATATAAGTAACTTAACCTGCACACATTTACTTCAATGTTGAGAACCTTATGGACTCTGCAGACTCTAGAAAAGAAAGAGTCATCTCTGCACAAAGTTGGTCTGAACCATCTTCTGAAAATTTATCTCTCTCCCCACTGAATATAGATTGAGCTAGGAGCTAGGAGCACCAACTGTAAATATTAAGTTAAATACTTAAAAATAGCTCAGCTAAATCTCTGCCTTTTGCTTCTCATGCAAAGCCTCCTCTCTCCTCTCACAAACTCTCTAGGGCCTCCCTATGACTGCCCTGCTCCCCACACTGCCAGGCCCTGTGCCACACTTGTGTGTCTGGCTGCTGCTGGCACACGTGCAGGACCTTTATTGCTCTTCTCTTCTTGCTCTTCCCAGCCTCTGGCAGCAGCCCTTGTGCTGTTCAATGATGTAAATGCTCCATAAGGACCTGTATTACCCAGTCCTTTGTGCATGTAAATAACAACATCTCTGATTACCCTGTCTTTGACTGCATTTCACTTTTTCGAGCACATAGCATTAAATGCATGTAGCACACCAAAAGTCCATCTTCACAGCACATCATCTTTCCAGAAGTGGAAATCTCTGGATGCTTTGTGCAGAGCTGCACCAGCCACAGCATAATAATGTTGTCTGCACCATAACACACAATGAAATCGCCATGAGTTTTGCCTTCCAGTTTTCCTTCTACTTCTGCCTTCTGGCACAAGGGCAGTTTGACTGCCCTTGTGAAGTGCATTCTTCTCTATATCCCTTGATAAATTGTGAGATTTACTTTTATATCTTGCTCCCAGAAACTACAGGTAACATACCCTCTCTCTGAGAGAGCACATCTTGCCTCTAGCAATAACCCAGGGAATTTATGAGGGCAGCAAACTGGCTTCCCTGGTCATGCTGAGCAAATGTACAAGCCAGTGCAATGAAAATTAAAGTGGTTTCATCACTTCCCGATGTCAGGGACTTCCCTGTCCCTGGGAAGAAGAAAATCCCCTAGAGTGGAGGTGGAGGTATAGATCAAAAAGAGCAGCAGAGGGTTGGGAAGATGTGCGGGGAAAAATTGGAGTGCCTGAGCCTATGATAGTAAAATTAGGGACCTTGATGCAGGGAAATGATTGGTATGTGATTTTATGGTTTTGGAATGTTGAATATTTGTTTTATTAAAACTGTACTATATTACATTATAACTGTATTAAAGAGGGATATTATACTATACTATAGGATATAATATAGATACTATAGTATAATATAGATACTATACTATACTATCTATACTACAAAGAATACTAAAGAAATACTTACTACTAACTAACAACTCATGACTGTCTCTTGACAGTCAGGACACAGTTTTGAGTGACTGGCTAAGGAAACAAAATAATTTTTAGTAGAATTTAATTACTAAACTTTTTTAGGTAAATAATTCTCTAACACATTCTACGTGTGTCAAACAAGAGGAGTAGAAGAATTGTTTTCCCTTCTTCTCTGCTTCTCTCACAGCTTGTCTCTGATCAGAGGGCAGGTGAATACCACAGCCTGTAGCTGGGCAGGGATGGTGGAAGAGCTTGCACACTGCTGACTGTGTGCACACTGCTCTGTGGGCAGAGCATGGCAAAGGGAGATGTGCTTGCCCAGGGCTTTATATCCACATGGAAAGCCAGTATTCCCACAGCATCAAAGCTCAACTGCTTACACTTGAATTTTGAATGAGCTAAGCTTTTTATGTTGGACACAAGTGCCATTAAAGCATCTCTTGCTGTTCATGCATGGATTAAGCTGCCTTTAAAGTCATTGACAGTGAGTGTTTCACCCCATCCCACCTGGCTTCTTGTCTGGGAGAGTCAGGACTGAGCTGGCACCACAGAGTGAAGAGACAGCATGACTAAAAAAACCTCTGCTGAAAGCTATTCCTTCCACATGGATACATGGCCAGGCACTGCCAGAGCCACGGCAGGGCCAGGGGACCTCAGACCAGAAAGGCAAATGCATTTGGAGGGGAGCAGCCCTGGTCATGGGCACAGAGTGGTGTCCAGCAGAAAAGGAGCAAAGGAAATGATGCCTTGGAAAACCGGATGGAGCAACGCTGACAGCAGAAAGAATGAGCAAAATCAGGGAATGCTGAAAGGGAAAGACAGAGATATGGATGGTGAGGAACAGGGCTACAAAATGAGTTGAATTCTCTTTGTCTCCTATCAAAATTAAGCTCCTGTATAATGGATAAGGTGGAGAAACAAATGGTTGTACATTGCTTTTTCTACCCATGGAACAGACAATGGCCTTCATACCATTTACTGAAAATTGCCTCAAGACAGCCTCAGACTTCATAGGGGATGCAGCCTGGAGGAGGTTTACCTTTCCACCCCAGGGACTGCAAGTGCATGGGGCTCACTTCTCCCAGCTTACAGACCAGACCTTGGCTGCTTGCACATGCAGGCACCTGAATGAAAGCATGCTGCTTTCAGAGTGGCATGGAGCTGAGCACTGGTGCCTCCTGTTCTTGCCACTGCAATCGGCTTTCCAAAAAATTCTCCTTTTCCCACCAACCCTCCCCAGCCACAACTTTTAGCATGCATTCTTCTCTTCTTCATGCCTCACCCCATGATATTATTTCTTTCCTAAGCATTTTATTTCCATTAACTTCTCTCTTTTGCTCCTTTTCCTCTTTAGGGGCCTAATCATTACACAAGCTGCTGAGACCAGAAATCTGGGCTTGGGAGCCACGAGAGTGGTCTCACTGCTGGCAGCTGGAAATCCTCATGACCAATGTGTGCCAGGCAGCCTCACATGGGACAGACACAGGGCTGGCAGTCACAAGGCTTGCCAGCTCCCCTGAGCAATAAATGCCTGACCTGGAAACTGGTAGGTCAAAAGGAAGCACTAGGATATTATGAAAGAGGTTCTGGATGGGAGAGAGCTGAAGCCTGGATGGATCAGAGCAGAGGGAACACCAAGGCACAGGAGGGAGGTGTCTGTCAGCACAGGTCACTCATCCCACAGGAGCAGCCAGGCAGGAAGAGCAGCTGGAGCTGTGCTGCACCTGCAGGACACAATGCTTGCTCCCCATCTGCAAATGCCACAAAGGATATGCAATCAGCACGTAGAAAAACCTTTTTTTGTTGTTTTTTTGTTTTGTTTTTTTTAACTGAATGCTCCAAAATGCATGTGGAACTGCAGCCATTGCAGCAGCCTGTGCTCACTGGTTTGCATGCAGAAGCTGCCATGCTGTTGCTGGTGTGTTTGAATGAGGCAGAGCTCCAGCATGCAGACAGAAAGCTGCTTCACATGTATTTAGCTGTGCTGTTTAAAAGCTTGTTTTCCTTTTGATGCTTCATTCCCCCACTCCAGCCTCTTCCTCCAGGCAATGAGAGCCTCCCAACAGACTGTCTGCCCTCTGAAACTGGCTGTCAGAAGGGACGTGGAGAATTTCAAGGGGTATTTCAGAAGCAAATGCAGCAAATAAATTCCACACAGAGTGCTTAGAGGGCTTATTGTCATGTCTCCATTTACCAGCACTGAGGGAATAATCCATGCAGATAATTTTTTTTTCTGTAAATGTAGTTTCTTTCAGAACATTCAGGTATTATTTTAATTTTTTTCCTATATAATGTCTGTGGTAATGCATTCATGAGCTTTATAAAATGCATATAAGAGTGTGACATGATTGAAAACCAGGTTTGGTTGATTAGATTTTCCTGGAAACCAGGTGTGGCATTTCAGGAATAGGTTTGAGTCTGATTGTGAAGTAGGCTTGGGTTTATGAACACTGCCTGTAATCCAAGAGAGCATCCATTTTGTGCTGATGGTTTGTGCTGCAAGAGAAGAGCACGGGCACAAGGGTGGATGTGACAGACCAAGTGCACATTTTTGTAGGAAACTTTGATTTTTATACACTCAAAAGGAAGGCATGCTGCAATTCACTGCTTTACTGGGTAGCTACTTTTATGCTGAATTATCAGAAAAAAACCCTATCACCACTTGTAAAAATTCAGAGATAATGTTTTTTTGTTTGTTTTGTGAGGGCTCTGAGGTGGCAGGGTAGAGACCTTTTGCTATATCTAACTCCTTCCCCCTCAAGTATCTTGTAAAGCTTTGCCACCAGATAAGATGGCAAAGCAGTCAGGGTACCCAGGCACAGCCTTTTCCAAGGCATGACTCCTTCCTTCTGCCAGGATCTATCCCTGATAATCTATGCACCAGGCCAGGGAGCTGCAGCTCTGCTCAGGGTTGCATTGTTGCTGGCATCAACAGCAATGCCAAAATACTGAGGAAAGCACAGCCCTCACACCAAGAGAGAAAAAAAACCCACTCAGCTCAGCACTGTCCCAAGTGCAGAAGGGGACACCACAATTGTACCTGAAGACATTTTTGCATCTTCCTCCACTTTGTCCCTGAGTTGTCTCACCTGACTGTCCAGACCCAGCATCATCAGCATGGAGAAGAAGAGGATTGACCACAGTGGGGACAAGGGCAGCTGTGTGACAACCTGTGGGTAGGCCAGGAAAGCCAGTCCAGGGCCTGCAGTAAGGAAAAGGGGGATGAGCCCATGTTCACAAAGCATTTGATGGTAAGTCTGAGCTAAGTGCCACCATTAAATAGAGAGACAAAAATTACAGCCAAGGATTCAGGGGTTTTTATACAGGAGCTAGGAACACCTGTTCCTTTGTGGCTGTGACACACCACCTTGGTGGGGGGCATGGGGGCAAGATGGGGAGACAGGATTGGAGAAACAACTCCTGCAAACAAGTAATCAAATTATTGCAACCAAATGGAGCTGGAGCACTGTGCTAGAAAAATAAACTGATATTCAGAGCTGGCTATAACTTTCCTGGTGTTTTTTTTTTTCTCCCCATCACAAAAGGCTGTTTCTTGAGATAAAAGCTTTCTCTGGAAAGACAGCAATTTCAAAATATGTCTTCGTGCAGAAAGACACAGTCCTATCTTGGTTAAAACATTATTCTGAGATCACAGTCTCAAGATCTTGCATGCAAAAGGGACTCCAAATTTTGATCACATCTACTGAAAACTTAGGTAGTATCTATTCTCCATAAGAAGGTTTCAGAAAGCAAATGGCCTAAATATTTCACTACAGCAAAATAAAACTTCAGCACACTTAGTCAGGAAAGAACAAGAGCAGCCCACACAAATGGTGCTCACAGGTTGCTGTTGCATTTGAACCTTGGTTTCTGCTTACCTGAGGAGGCCAGCTCTGACACCGACTTCTTCGTGATGTGTGACATGAAGCCAATGATAGAGAAAATAACAAACCCTGCAAATATGCTTGTGGTGGAGTTTATACAACAGACAATAATGGAGTCTCTGGAAGAGAGAAAGAGAGAAAAAACCCCACCTGCAGGTCCCACCAAGAGCAGAGGGTGGGGTAAACAAAAGACCAAGCCCTGTGGATAGCTGGTCCTGTGCCTTGGACAGGTAGCACAGGTGACACACTGAGTGTCCTGTAGGCAGGGAGCCCCTCTGAAGAGATCACAGTGTGTCCCCATGGCTGCATGGTGCCAGCAAGGGGACAGCAGAGATCAGGCAGGTTCACCACAACCCCCTGCCTCACCCATGAGGAGTCCCAGCCACACAGGAGGGTGGAAAAAACCCACTGACCTGTAGACGTTGTTGTGGAAAGTGTTGTAGCTGCCCAGAGCAATGAGGGAGCCCAGCCCCAGGCCGTAGGAGAAGAAGATCTGAGTGGCTGCATCCATCCAGACCTGTAGAGAAGGAGCCAGAGGAGGAGTGCAGCAGAAGGGGACTCCATGCTGCAGGTGCATGTCCTGCAGCAGCACAGGGCAGGGCTAGCAGGGGGACTGGGTGCAGACTGTGGAGCTGAGTGCTTGGATGTACAGGGGGACTGGGGTGGCCAGGACCTGAGGGAACCCTGTCAGTAGGGCCCAGTCAAGAGTTTCTTACTAACATCTAATCTAAAGCTATTCTCTTTCAGTTTAAAGCCATTCTTCCTGTCCTGTCACTACATGGCCTTGTCAAAAGTCCCTCTCCAGGGCTTTTCTGTAGGGCCCTTTATGTACTGGAAGGTAGGGAATCTGCATCCTTCCCATGTGTCAAGTGTATCAAAGTGCATCCTGGCCCAGCACCAGACATGCCCTCCAGTGGGATGATGTAGATGCAGGAAAAGTCATGCATTTCTGAACAGGGTCCTGTGCAGATCAGAAGGGTCTCTTGCATTGTCTGAGTGTGTGTGTGTGTGTGTGTGTGTTTGCTTTCTCACATGTGGCCCCAAGGGATGCTGCTCCACTCAGAGACCCACATCCTTCTCTCACACCCTCCATTTCTCTTCCACTAGTGTGTCTTTGATTTTCCAACATGGAAACAGTATGTGCAAACAACTGCAGATGACAGCTTGCAAAGCTGGTCCCCATGCCTTAAGATGTTAAAGCTTAGAAAGTTCAAGAAAAAGAGACAGACTGTTTCTTAATTGCATAGTATTTACACAACTCTTCTGGTCTTGAGAACCCTGTTTCCTGCATTAGAGCCAATGCAGTTGGTAGTATGGTTACAGAGAGTGTCCTGAAAGCGGGATCATTGGGACCCTCACTGCAAAGTGACAAATCTCCAGCTGTCCCCACTCACACATGACTGGTGGCTTTGGAACCATGGGAGTATTGCTGCTGAAAAACACAGAGTCTGTGTATCCTGAAAAAGTTCATTTTTGCAAGAATCCCTGCTCCTCCTGGGTCTCCTCTCTGCTGCCAGTGACCAAGAACACATTAAGAACACATTAACTCATCACTTAAGCACTTTCAAAACCTGCTGCTGTGTGTGCTGCTGTGCTTGTGGTCCTTGTGAGGCCCCCATGCCAGCAGCACATCATCCTTTCTCTGGGACCACCAGGACAGTCACTGAAATGAGACATTCCCAGCCCAGAGGGCAGGTGCCTTTGTCAGGATAACTTCTGACTCCCCATACCCTGTGGATAACTCTGCCTGGTACAGCAGAGCTGCTGCACAGATTTCCACCCATGAAGGAACTTTTTGTCAGTTTTGTCTCAGCCTATGGGACATGGGTCATGAATACTTGTAAAGGGTTATTCTAGAGTTATTTTAAGTACTTACAATATTCATGGGAAGTGCCTGAGGAAGCCTAAAGCAGAGACAGCTGGGAGATAAGAGCTTTCCTCACTAGGCTACTAACCTCAGAGTCAGAGAGCTTCCTGAAGTCAGGTGTGAGGTAGAAGAGGATCCCCTCCTTGGCTCCTGGCAGCGTGACTCCCCGGAACAAGAGGATGAAAAGCATGAAGTAGGGGTAGGTGGCTGAGAAATACACCACCTGAAAAAGACCCCAGGGGAGAGAAAACATCAGCCCACCAGTGCCCAGGACCTTTCCTGCCCATGGTGCCATTGAGTCTGGCATGTTCTCCTGTGAGGGGGACAGGCTCCCAAGCACAGCCACTTTCAGCAGCATTTCCTTGCATTTTCTGTCTCCCATTCCCATGCTAGTAACGCTTCTGGCTGTTTGAGGTTTCTCCCTGCCAATGATACACAAGGACACACTAATCACAAAAGTAGCATGCTGAAGTCTGGATGAAATGCCCAAAGACAAGGGAATTGCACAGGGATAATTTTACCCCACAGAAGTAATCCCCTTAAGTCATCATATCCTTATTTTCAGAGCTAAAGCTGGTGTTTCTCTAGACCAGTGCATGAAGCAAAACAAGTTGTCTTGATTCCACTGCTTTCTTTTCAGCACTGTTTCAGTATCTTACGGGTATGTGCCATCCCTCATCACAGAGCCCACACCAGTAATCACCAGGGCTTTTCTGTGGCTGTGTAGCTAAAGCCTGTTTGAGAGCCACTGGGGAAGTTATCAGCTTAGGTGACCTACCCCTGAAGTGCTTCTTTCTGATCTCTCCTCTAGATTATTCCTTTCATAATAGTGTCTGGTTGCACCATGCTGTGCTCTAAATAACACATCCCAGCATCTCAGCACTGCTGTTTCACTAAACAAAGCAATTACCTTTCTGCTGTGCTAGCCTGGAACACTGCACAGGGAATAACAACGGGCTTCTCATCTGAACGTCTCCCACCAATATCAAAAGGGCAGCAGGAAATTGTCAAAGGAGATGGGGAGATTTTTTTCCACCAGAGGCAATTTAAGAGACTGTGATTGTCAGAAGTGGGAGGCCACAAGAAGCTTTGCTCTCTCAAAGGGCTGTCCCAAAGTGGGAAATATAAGTAATTTCTGAAAATGCCTCTTCCCAAAAAGAATGCATGCTCAGACCCATGACCCTACAGGCAAGAGCTATTCTCTACACTTAGAATGAAAATTACCATAAACATCATAGCAATTTTCACAGCCATGAAAGGTAAATGTCAGGAATTTAATAGCATCTATTGTGATTTTGCCTCTAAACACCGTAACCTTAGTTATAGACACTTAAATAAAATTGAGTCTGGAGGACATTTTGACGGCACAGCAATGAGAGGCAGCACCAAAAGACCCAGCCCTCACACTGTACCTTGCCTGTCCACTCCACACCCTTCCAGATGGAGAAGTAGACCAGCAGCCAGGCCAGGGCCAGCGTGCCAGCCAGGGGCCAGCGGACGGCGCCAGGCTCCCCCAGGCCTCCGGACATCTGGTGCATGTTCCTCCTAAGGGTGGGAGACGCTGTGTCAGGAGATCATCTAATAATCAAGGGCAGAGGAATTTGGAGCTCCCAGAGGTGGCTGGAGGGTGAAGGGCCAGGTGCAGACAGGTGTGAGAACCCACAAATCCCTAGAGGGAATGAGGATCATTGTGATGGGACAAAGGGAGGTGAAGAGAGGTGGAGAGACTGTTTGCCTGCAGGTCCATCTGACCTGCATCTGCACAGTGCACCCCATGCCCACCATGGCTGTAACGCCCTTCTGCCAAGGCTGCCCAGGGAGCAGAGCCCACAGGCACAGCCACGGCCCTGGTGGGCAGGCACAGTGACCACAGGGAGGGAGAAACCTGGTGTGGGCAGCTGGGGACGTACTCCCAGAACTCGGTGACGGCGCTGGTGAGGTTGGTGGTGTCGTTCAGGGAGTAGTTGGAGAAGCAGCGCTCGGTGTTCCAGGCGTTCCCACAGCTCTGCCACGGCAGCTCCTGCACCAGAACAAGGACACCAGGGTCACCATTCATGGGATATCTCCCAATGAAATCTGGCTTCTTCTAAACTGAAGCCCCTTAATATTTTTTTTTGCAAAGATAATGGGCAGCTCCACTGGATGGGCATGCCCTTGTATCTAAAATAATGGAACTATTTTCAAAAATATGATAAATTGTAAAAGGATTTTTGGGGAAAAAATATCATTATATGATTAGGGCAATACTGTAGCTCCAATAAAATTCCCCACATAGAAAGCCACTTCCAATTAACTGTTGATAATTAATACCTACAAATTAAAATACTATCAAGGGATACTGTGCTTATAACCATTACAGCTTTTTGCTGTCTTCACTCAACAAGTGATTGGAATTTACTGCACAAAGAATAAGCAGGGATTTGTTTCTTATGTTTAATTTACACCAACTTCAATGTTTAAAAAGCAACATGGCCCTGAGAATGGAGGCAACGGGTTGTCTACACAAACAGACTTTTATAACACAAGCACAGGAGTAAATTGTGCAGGACAGTAGCTGCTTGATGCTGTCCACTGCCCTGATTATAAGCAGCACAAAGGGATTCCTGGGAAAGGTTTACACTGTGGGTAGCAGTGAGACAGCAGCACAACACTACAGAGTTACTGCAGTCAGCTCTAGCACTGCAGGCAGTAAAGCAGCAGTGCCAGGGGCTGTCTGAGCATGCAGGACAACTCACCCAGGCCATGCAGTGCCACAGCTGAGCCAGCCCAAGGAAGCAGCTCAGATATGTCTCCATGGGCAGCTAGCTCTTTTCCCAAGCACAGTGTGTGTAGACAAATGCAGAGCAGCTATTCTGGGTGATTTTCTTCTGCAGATAAGACCTGAGGCTCCAGCTCAACAAAGCTTTAAGAAGAAGTTTGTATCCATCCCTATTCCTCCAGCAATGTAGACCTCTTTATTGTAAAAGCAGATCCACCAATGAGGGGAGAGAATGATGCATCTGACTCCATCTTATCAGAAGGCTAATTTATTACTTTATGATACTATATTATATTAAAGAATACTATACTATACTAAAGAATACACAAAAGATACTTACTGAATACTAAAGAGATAATGAAAACTCGTGACTCTTTCCAGAGCCCTGACACAGTTTGGCCTAGATTGGCCAAAGAGTGAAAACAACTCACACCAGAAACCAATGAAACAGTCACCTGTGGGTAAAAAAATCTCCAAACACATTCCACATGAGCACAACACAGGAGAAGCAAATGAGATAAGAATTGTTTTCCTTTTCTCTGAGGCCTCTCTCGCTGCTTTTCAGCTTCCCAGGAGAAAATCCCTGGGTAAAGGAATTTTTTCAGACAATGTAAATGCCACACTCTTCAAAAATATTACCTGTATTTTAAGTGCTTTTAAGTGCTGCCTTCACTGCTCCATCTAAATCAGTTCACTCCAGCAGATGATACCTTCAAACATGGTATCCTGGCAGAATGGTGACTATTGCAGGGGTGGAGGTGACATTCCAGTGGCCACCCAGACCACTGCACCCCCCTCAGTGGTGATTTCATGACGACTTGCTAACTGCACTGAAGAAAAGGCAGCGGCTTGAGCAGTGCTGCACAGCAGCTCTTCAATTCTGCATGTTAGAGAAGCTGCACAGCTCTCACAAGGAGGAGCAGGCTGGGGGCAGTTTGTTGCTGCTCCATTTCCTCTGAATTTTAGAAGACAGAAACTGCAGAAGGCAGGCTGGGCTCTTATTATAGTTCAAAATACTCTTAGTTAAATTTAGGAGGCACAGGGGACAGACATCAGCCTGGCTTTTTCATTTGCACCTCGGGTCCTTTTGGGAATTTGGAATTCTCTCTGGTAAAAGAAAAGGTTTTGAGCCAAACATCTGGATCTGCCTGTGCACATACAAGCACTGTCTCTACCTGGGTCTGTAACACCTGAAGGTACCAAAGCCTTATCCTAAAAAACATCCTGCCCAGGGTGGAGTTGGGACAGGTTACTTTGAGGAAGACCTCTGTTTATTTGGGAATCCCTGAGGGTGCATCTAATCACCCACAGCCAATAAAGCTGTTCTAGATCCAGGACCCTACAGTGATAGGTGGTGTTGGTGGTAGAAACACAGTTGGGAATGACAAATGAAATGATTCAGCAAAAGTGTTGACAGATACTTGAAAGTTTTGCTGGAACAAAAAGGAAAAGTGGTTGTACAGTGTCCACAATAGCATTTCAGGGTTATATCTAAATGACATTTAAAAAGATCCCATCTGAACCATGGGGTTGATGTCTTTAAGGCTTCAGGTTGCTCAGAGACTTACATTAAGGAAACTCTTACCAGTTTCTCAGTTGAAATAAATAATTCAGCTACCAAGAAATTAATATGGGGTGTGATTCTAACATTGTATGGTAGAAGGCCCTGCTATGGAAGAGGAACCCATTACAAATTATAACACCAAAGCACACACTAAGGGACAGTCACAAGCAGATGTCTAGATACTTTCTGAATCATTTTTCCCAGCAGAAAAAAAAATGCCTTGGAGATAATTTATCAAGAGAGGAGTGAACAAGAACTAATTAAGATAAGGAGCAAGTCCTGAGAAATGAGATCATGATGTAACAAAGCCTGACAAAACCAGTTCTGGAAATGTGCAGCTCAGATTCGAGCAGCACTAGAAATAAAACAGAAACACAGGGTAAGTTTTAAAGACTGAAGTGAGTGGGGAGCACTTCCTGTAGAGGAGATAGGACCATCATCTCCAGAGGACAAGCATCACTACCCATCAGCACCACAAAACTGCCTCCAGGGCTGATGAACCTCCTCAGGAAGGGTGTAGCACGATGCTGACAAGGGCTCTTTGCACAAATGGCAAGCAGCTAGTGACTGCTGTGGGTCATGAACAAACCACTGCCCATAAGGGGGAGTGAGGACCCAGAGCACAGCCAAAGCCACGCTGCAGACACGCCCAGGACTCACCGAAGTGAAGGAGTTGAAGAGATAGTAGAGAGCCCAGGCAATGATGACAATGTAGTAGATGTTCAGCCAGAAGGACAGAACCATGGCTGCCAGGCCCACACCTGCAAATGAAGGCAGAGAGCAGCATCAGTCCATGTGGGGATACCAGGCATTGGTTTCTCTGGGTCTGGATTGAAGGCACTTGAGACAGTAGTTCATGTTTGGACTCAGGTGTTGATTATTTCTTATCAGTAAAACAGTCTCACTGCTGTGGGTTCAGCAGCACAAAATGGCCAACTATCTCTGGTTACAAGGTCTTTAAAGACCAAACTATCCAATTGAGAACTGGCACCTGGATTATTTTCCCTTTTAACCAAATAACTGATTCCACAGAGCCCCCAGTGCAGACTTTTCTGCCCAATTACAAAATGCCACACAAAGCCATGGAGAAGAAGGAAGAAAAAGCATGAAGAAGAAACTCAGGACAACATCCTGTGCCCTCCATCTTGCTTCCATCCACAACATACTAAAAATCCCAAAACCTAAATTTCTCACCAAGTGATACATCTACACTACTTTCTATAATCCATTTCACACTTTTGTGGATTCCAGTCTATCTTAAAGTCTGGGAAACTTTCTCCATGATGAGGGTCAGAGTCAGTGCTCCCCTGGGGGTCAGGGCACCCCAGAGCAGACAGAGAAATATTCCCAGTGCCCTGGGTTTCCACAAATCCAGGTCTCCAGTACCCAAGGGAGTTCATGGGCTTCACAGCAAGGGTTTTTTTTGAAAACCAAAAAAAGGGAACCAGCTCATCAACACAGAGTGTGCTGTAGCTGCAGAATGAGCTGGTCAGCAAGGGAGGCTCATTCCCTTATGTCTCTCAGCCACCCATTTCCACTGGGGGAACAATGCTTTCAGTGTGCTACTGGTACTTTATGGACAGAGCTCCATGAAAACAAGACCTTGTCACTTCCCTGGCAGAAGTGTACTTTTCAACATCCAAGGCATTTCTAAATCACCATTGGCTTCTAGAAAACAGTCACTTCAAGCATGGTAACAGGTTGCATTCCCATGCAATTAAAGTAAGCACATGTTGGGAAAACAAAGGGTCTTCTACAACCAGAGCCCTTCTGTCACAGTCCCTTGTCCCATAAAGTCCCTTGTCATCACACAGAACTGCTTGAACAGAGCACAGTGATGTTAGTGACTGCAGACAGAGGTCAAGGACAGTTTGATAAAGACAGAGGGGAACCCACACACCCCCACCCCTGCCACCCCATCCCAGCCCCCAGGGATTGGCTGATTTACCTTCAAACCATTAGTGGGGTTTTGCCTCTAGTGATGTGCCATTTCTGTCACAAACATACAGCACAGTACCTTTGAACATGGGTGCTAATCTCCAGACTCCTAGTCCACCAATAGAGGTATACTGGCCCAGAGCAGTTTCCAGCAGGAAGAGAGGAATCCCAGCAAACACCAGCGTCAGGAAATAGGGGATGAGGAAGGCCCCTGAAAGAAGGAGCAATGTTATCAGGCAGTTCCCTCTTTGATCAAGAAGGAAATGCCTCCAGCTGCAGTTCCTTGCTCTGCAGCACCCATGTGATGAGGAGCAGCCTCTCCCAGAGGTGACAGCTTGCAGCTGGAGTTGATGTGTTTGGTGAGTCTCCCACTGAGGTCACAGCTCCTTCCCCGTATCACTGTGGGTATGTGTGCACCATGTGTACAAATACACTGGCATCACTAGCTGTGCAATGCCAGGCTCACTTTGTTACTGCTTAGGCAATGCTAAACCAAATCTGACAACAACCCCAAAAGCTTGGACACTGACATTGGTAACTTGTTGATGCTTTCTGTCTTACCTGCAGAAGCTTTCAATTCTTCTTCTTCTTCTTCTTCTTCTTCTTCTTCTTCTTCTTGAGGGAATAGTGCACAGGAATATCTGGCATTGGCCACTGCTTTCTTTTTTTATAGCTGTTTCAATCTTTTTAAAAAACTGTGACCAAAACTGTACTGGCTCTTGTAACAGTGCTACGTACCACCCTACCTGTGTTTTAGGTTTTACCTTAAAATTCCTCGTGAAAATATTATTTTTCCCCATGGCCCCATGGAAATCATCTCATCACTAGAAAGGAGGTAGAACACTCATTCACTAGAGATATTACTGGCACCCAGTTTTGAGAAGAGCAATTAGAATAGGAGAGCCTTGCTGTGTGATTGGAAGGCTGTACAAGTTCAGGTCATCCTGACTTCTGGGATGGGGGACAAAACCCAGTTTTATCTTTCTCATGCCTGTACTGGAGTGGGCCCTCATTTCTGAGGAGGATAAACTTTTGCAGAAGATGCTCACTGGGGACAGAGGGGGGACACTCAGTGTGCCCAGAAGTGGCTGGCTGTGTTCAGGACAGCACTGACTCCTGCACCAGCCTTAGGGCTGAGCTGTCAGTCTGAGTCTTCCTCTCCAGATAATTGTAGGGAAGCAAACACGGAGCCAGCGAGCAAAGCCACTCTGGAGAGCTGTGGCCCAGCTTGCACCCAGCAGAGCCAGGCTCCAGCAGCTGCTCTCTGAGGGCAGGGAAGCAGCCAGGGATGCTGGCTCAGGGGACACCCAGCTGGGGACATCTGCCTGCCAAGCAGGGAGCTGAACCCAGCTGGGAGAGGCAGGTGCCAGCACTCGGCATGAGAGTCCATGGGAGGCAGCGTGCAAGAGGAGCTGGCAGTGGGTGGTGGGCAGAAAACACTCCCTGTGCCAGCAGCTCAGTGACCATGAACCTGAATCACAAGCTGGCATGGAAGCACAGGCTCTTGGCTTCACCAGCAGCCTGGTGCACAGCAGAGAACAGCTCTGGGCATCACTGTGCCTGCTCAGCAGCCTCCCTCCCCTGTGTGCTCACCAGACACCACAGCCTGCAAGGTCCAGCCCCTGAGAGCCCTGTGGGAAGCCAGGGTCTGCTCCAGGGCTGCTGCCACCCTGCTGCTGTGCTGTTCGGAGGCTGAGCTTAGCAGCAGTGCAAGTCTCCTCCTCGCTTCTGTGCAAGCAATTAATGAAATTTGGCTGCAGCTCTGATGATCCTGCACTTCTCATCTACAGCAGGTCAGGAAGGCTTGTAGGTGAAAGATCTTATTAGACTGTTTGGGAAGAAAAAAGAAAACAAAAAACAAACAAATAAACTGTTGGACACAAGTCTTTTATCCTGACTTGATTCTCAAGAATAGTGGAAAATCTACAAACCAGACCACCTCCTTGAGCTGAGGGCTGTTGGCGATGCCACTGCCAGTCTGGAGGCCAGGTCCCCAAGCAGGCATGGATAATATCCCCAGGTCCTGTACAGCCAGATGGGAAATCAGTTCTGGAATTTGTATCTAAATTTTGCAGGCCAGTACAAAATACAGTTGTGTGTGACCTTGGGAAAGTGCCAGCTTCTCTCCAGATCCATGGGTGTCAGAGGTGATGACACTGGTCCTGCTCAGAGCTCTGACCCTTAGAGGCAAGGAGGGATCGATAGTGCCTGGTGCTCACTGTGCAGCCCCAAATCTGCCTGCTCCTAATGCTGCACAGCAGAGAACAACAATTAATCCTTAAAACAGGGAACACTGCCCACGAATCAAAAACTGAGCATTACAAGCTGTTACACTGTGTTGTTTTGAGTCTCAGTGTGCAAATGAGGAGTGGAGGATGCTTATTTAAAGGATTGTTTTTCTCTCAAGTTATTCAAGCTTAGGATCTCACAGGCAATTTTTAGCATGTACTGAGCTGCATTTAGAGTGAATTTGGAGTCTGGTACAATTCTGTTGAGATCAGAGGGACTGTATAAGGTTAGAGATCGGTGTAGAGGCCGGGGGCACAGCTGGGCACATCCAGCTGCGTGCAGGGCCAGCAGGGAGCCCGGGCATCACTTTGGGTGAAGCCTGCTCCCCGCAGCGGCCGGGCCGAGCGCTGTGCTGCCGTGCCCGGGGCTCCCCGCGCCGAGCAAGCCAGCCGTGAGCCGATGCAATGCGACAGCGGTAAGTGAGACGACAATATTTCCATTCAGTTCAATTTGCCTGTGCGTAATGGAAGCAGCCCACACGGCCGCGCTCTGAGCAGGGCACATGCGGGACGCTAAAATTAGCGTTCCACCCACGGTCTGCGGCGCTCCGCGGAGGCTGAGCCGGGGCCGTGCCCGCCCGCTTGCGAAGGAGCCGCGTCCCGGTGATGCTCCCGTGCGTCAGCTCCGGCTCAGGCAGCGCTCCCTCCTTGGTGCTGCCGGCTGCGGGAGCGGCAGGGCCGGGGGAAGGAGCCATCCAGGCTGCCATGAACAGCACGGAGCGGCAGGGCATGGGAAGGAGCCATCCAGGCTGCCATGAGCGGCACAGAGCGGCAGGGCCGGGGGAAGGAGCCATCCAGGCTGCCATGAGCGGCACAGAGCGGCAGGGCCGGGGGAAGGAGCCATCCAGGCTGCCATGAGCGGCACAGAGCGGCAGGGCATGGGAAGGAGCCATCCAGGCTGCCATGAGCGGCACGGAGCGGCAGGGCCGGGGGAAGGAGCCATCCAGGCTGCCATGAACAGCACGGAGCGGCAGGGCATGGGAAGGAGCCATCCAGGCTGCCATGAACAGCACGGAGCACCAGGGTGCTGGGAGCAGGAACCAATTCCTGCCTTGCATCTGCCTGCTCACAGCCGGCTGCTCCCTCTGCGTGCCCGCGGCTGTCAGGGCAGAGAGTGCCCCGTGTACCATGGCTGGTGCTAAAAATAGAGCTCCGCACCTCCACAGCACCCTCTGAGTTTATATGTAGGAGTTTAGCTTCACTACACCCCTCATCTAATTACATCACTGTCATCTCCACCTTTATGTGTGAGGAGACAGTCACAGGCAGCACAGAGCTGTGTGAGACTTGGGATGACACAGCAAGCACAGGGCTAACAACCAGTGCTGGACCCAGCCATGGGGAAATGTTCTGGGAGGAGAGCTAGCAGCCAGAGAGTGGCCACACAAAGATGACAGACCTGCACTGGTGGCACAGGCCTGGATGTTCCCACAAAACCTCCCCTGGGCAGGCCTGGGTGTTCCCACAAACCTCACTCAGCTCAGCTGCACATTTCCACCTCTCCACAAAACCCAAAGAAGCTGTGGATGCCCCATCCCTGAAAGTGTTCATGGCCAGGTTGGATGTGGCTTTGAGCAACTTAGTGGAAGGTGTCCCTGCCCTTGGTAGTGGGTTTGGAACTGGCTGATCTTTTAGGTCCTTTCCAACCCTGACCATCCTATGATTCTACAATTCTATGAAAACAGCATAATCAGTTAGAAATCTTCTTGTCAAAATTGCAAACTTTCTGATCTCCTGCTAGGATTCACTCCATGATTCAGAGAAAGGGCCTAGATACCCTTAAATGCCATGAAGTTAAATGGACATTTCTTCAGGGAAGAAGACCCTTCTCCTCTTTTCCAGGGTTGGAGAAAAAGAGCATCCTACACTGCCTGCAACTGCAGAAATGGGCTGGTGATACGAGAAGTTATGAGAGCCAAAGGTAAAAGGAAAATTTGAAAGACATGGAGAAGAAACATGAGAAGACACCCTCAGAGCAGCATGAATGAGTGTGGCACTTGGGATGGGGACTCCAGGCCAGGAGGAGCTAAAAGGAAAGCAAAGAGCAATGTGGGAAGACTAGCAGGCAAAACTAAAATTATATATAGGGATTTAAAGGTGAGGAAAATGGGTTTGGACTTGTGTGGGAAGTCTGTAAAATGGTTCAAGGAAGTGAGCAGCTCTTCAAAGGGGAGAAGGAAGGCTGTTTTAGTAACAGGCACAAGCAATGGGAGAGCTCAGCATGGAGTGAGAAGAAAGAGCCTCTGCTCTACTGACACCTGCCTGTACTCCCCTCCATAAAAGCATCTCCCTGACAAGGCAGAAGAAAGAGCACCATTTGAGAGGGGAGCTGAGGCACAGAAGTGTGTTTTCTGAGTTGATCCAAGATGTGCAGAAATTCTGTACCTGAGCAGGGAGAATTTCCTTGAGAATACCCCAGACTGAGGAGAACCCAACCTTTAACAGATGCAAACTGGTTTCTCTGGAGGTGCCCCAGAATCCAACTGGGTGCCTGTTTGTGCATAGCCCTCCCTGTAAGTAAATGAGGTCCCACATGCCTGGTTTGGAGTTTTTTTGTAGTAAATTTGAACTTCACAAGCATGACAGAACTCAAACTGCTTGTTATATTCCTTTGGACTGCTTCTTCCCAGCCTGCACTTGCTAGTAAAGCCCACAGATCATGGAAACTTGTCTCTGGACAACTTAATAACTCCCACCATGTGGGAGAGCTCTCAGCTGGAGAACCACCCATTTGCCCAGACCCACACCAAGCCAAAACCTGCTCAGGTACAAGGCTGCTCATTGTGCATTTCTCTCACCTCCTCCATTTTTGCCACAGAGATAAGGGAAGCGCCAGACGTTACCCAGACCAATAGCATAGCCCACACAGGACAGCAAGAAGTCAAATTTCCCCTTCCAGGAACCTCTGTCTGGGATCTCCTTCTTCTTCTTCTTGGTGCTCACGACCTCAGGGCTGATGGGCTCTGGCTCCTCCAGGGCTGCCTGCTTCACCTCAGAGGGAGAGCTCAGCTCCACAGAGGTGTTGTCCATCTTGCCCATGGTGGCTCAGAGGTGAATCCACTCTTGCTGAGGGGCTGGAGGAGCAGGAAAGGCAGTTTCTGCTGGCCACGAGAAGACAGGATGGGAAGCACTGTGCAAAGCTCCTGGTGAGAAAGGAGAGAAGGAAGGTGTCCTGTGTCAATGTGTGTGTGTCAGACTTGGTTGTTACCATTATAGAACAAATCCCTGAACTCTCATCTTACCTGCTTCTCATGCCAGTGCTCTGCAGGAAGAGCTTTGGGACCAGTAGGCCTGCAGCAAAACCACAGGTTGTGGGTGACCCACCACACAGCACAGAAATACATCTGTCCTGTCTGAGTGACAGTGGAGGAGGGCACGATGGAGGTGCCTGAGCTCCCAGGCCTGGGGTCCTAAACTGAGTGCAGCAGTCACAGAGCCATCTGAGAGTTTGTGTGGCCCAGCCAGCCAAGCACTGCTGTGGATGTGCTCCCCTTGGAAATCCCATGCATTTATCCCTCACCGCAGCAGCAACACAGCCTGTTCACAGCTGTGCACCTGCAGCATCTGGCAAGGCAATCACTGCTTGCTCAGCCCCTCCCTGTGCTTCATGCTGGTTCTGTAATCCCCAGGTGTGTTCAGCTTGTGCTCACTGTGACTAGAGCCAGCCTGTGAACCACTGAAATCCCATTAAGTCAGGACTTCAAAGTCCTGATGATTAATTGCGTGAGTCCAACTAAAAAATTTAGTTAATACTTGCATTGATTTTAGTTCTTAAGAAGTATATAACCATCACACCAAAACAATTTGGAAAGAGAGAGAGCAGGCTATGTTACTACACCTGTGTCTAACCCAATATTGCACTCATGTCTTGAAAAATAAGTGCAGTTCTCCCTGTCACACAGGCTATTGCAAAGTCAGAAAAAGGCATGGAAGAGAGCCAAAAGGCTGCTTGAAAGAGTGGAGTAACTTCCATGTGAAGAGAGTATAAATGAAACAGGATCCATCGTTCTGTGGAAGAGGTAGCTGGCAGGGGCCTATAAATTTATCAGTGTCATAGAATACAAGTATTCACCATTTCTGACACAAGAACTGCAAGGGATTAAACCAGGATCAGCAGGTGGTAGGTTCAAAAAGAGCAAGGGGTGAAAATGTAGTCCAGAAAATGTGTAGCTATAGAGCAAGACTCCCCACTGCAGGACATGCTGGATGCCAAGAGTTTATATGACTTTAGAAAAGAAAAATAAGGGGATAAATAATGGAAGGAAAATCCACCAGAATCTACTACTGCAATTCTGCAGTAAACCTTGAGCTGGAAGTTGTTGGAGGTTGAGGGACTCTTCCAAGGAAATAGCACTCTCTACTTTTCCTGGTTTTGTCCTCCCCCCTCAGCCAGCACAGAAGGCAGGACTGGCATGGGGTTTGCTCTCACCCACTTCTCAGCCCATTTCACAGAGACAAATTTAATCCTCACCAGGGGTCCTGAGGGTGATCAGTGCTACAATCTCCCAGAGAAGTCTGTTGACAAAAACATTCATAGATGCAAACATCAGAAAACAAACAATCAAAAACAAAATGGGTATATCAGGAAATATCAGGAAACAAATCAATGCTGTAAAGAGGTGTCATGCTCTAGTACTTAAAGCTGACCTTGCTTGAGCTTCCTTCTAGACCTGGCAGTCTATTCTCATAAAGAAACAGTACCCATTTGTCCCATGGGATGTTTGGGAGACTCATTAATTAACATTTCTAAAGTGTACTGGACAGAGATGGTCTCCTAAATCCAGGCTCAATGGCAGTGTGACTCCTGTTTACCACAGCAGGCCTCCCATGATTACAGCAGGTGGATTTTGTTCCCCCACAGAATTCATCACTGAGGTCATAAAAAGTCTTTCAGCTGTGAAGGGAATGGCTGAACCAGGAAATACCTGTAATTCCTTCTGAAAAGTCAGTGGAGAAATCCCCTTGCTGTGGGACAAAGTCTGTAGCCAGGCTCCCTGAGCTATGGAGCCCACACCAAGCCTCAACTCACTCCTCCAGCCCCAGGATGGCTGCAGCAAGCCCAGCAGCAAGAGGCAGCATGGAAATGGTTTCTGGGGAGAAGAGACCATTTCACATAGTCCATGAGGCAGATGCCAGAAAAAACCATTGCAGGACACTCAGAGCAAATGCTTTGGTTGACAGATCCCATTTCTGTCCTACACCTTGTGATAGCACTGTCACACCAGCTCCTGGCTCCTCACTGGGAGAAAAAGATTTTACAGAACATGTAGGAGGAAAGTAAAATCAAGAAAATTTATAAATCAAAATAGAAGAAATAGCACCAAAACCCTTGGGAAGAACTCAGAGCTGGGCTAAGTCAGGGTAATAAGCTATGCCTAGAGACATAACAAATTTGACTCAGTAGGAGCCATTTAGACTCACTTATTTTTTTTTTTCTGTAGACAAAAAACAGAAGGTAAGATGCTGTCTTTGAAAATTATTTATATATCCTGCTCTCCCTGTGCTCTTTTCCCTGTTCCTGTTGCCACAGTTCTGGGGTGATACTGCAGCTAGAGGGTCACACCTCATATTTCCTGGACTTGGGATAAGATGATAAAGGAACAGCAGACCACACTGGCAATTTCATCTTACCTGAAAAGTCAGGTCCTTCATCTCCAGCTCAGAAAGAGTAAGCTAGATTTATAGAGGTTTCTTCACAGTCAAGAAATAGAGAAACAGGCAAGAGGATCCCACTGAGGATCCATCCCAGCTACTGTCCTGTCTCTCTGCAGTGATGGATGATAGGACAGAAGGGCTTGAGCATGTCCCACAGCCCAGCTGTGCCATGTCCTTCCCCAGACACACAGCCTGACCAGCAAAACCACAGGCATCAGTCCCCCCAGGCCAAGTGTTTGGCTCCTGTGTTGCTCACATGCTGAACAAATCCCACTGGGACAAAATGTCAGCCCCTCCACTCATCCACATGAGTCTCCTGCGGCAGGAGCACAAAGCTTTGTCCTGTGCTGACAGCAGAGAGAGAGCAGAGTCAGTTCAGCAGCTCTCTGTCATGTCAGATTATTTGTTCTGAAAAGCACACGGTGCTTTGGGCAGAACAAAATGCCTGAAGGACTCAAAATGATAATCAATAAGAGCAGAGCTACAAGATGGAGGTGGCTCTGCTTTGCAAGGACTTGAAAACAAGGTCAAAGTTTCAACATGACACTACAGCAAGTTTCTCATTCAACTTCTTCCAAATGCACCATGTTCTGAAGCCAGAACTTTCCAAGCAATCCATGAAAGCTAATGCCATAAATTCCTGGTAGTAAAGGAGTGACCTGTGTTTCACCAAGTTGCATAGAAGGCCTGGTCTTCTGCTACCCAAGTCAATAAAAACAATTGCCGTGTCCCCAGTGGATGCAGAGCCAGGCTGATCCACATTCTGGCAAACAGACTGTCTTCTTTTTTTTTTTTGAGGGATTTTGCTTCAAATAAGAAAATAGCATTGAGAAAGTATTGCTGCCACTTGAAACTCTGCCTCCTGAAACACTGTTGCTAACAACAGTGACCTTTTTACTTTCCCCTGCTTCAACATCAAATATTAACAATCTCCTCAAATTTGACAGATACCAAAAATTTCAAGGGCATAAAATTGCCTGAAATGAAACAGCAAAATGAGCAAAATGACCCATGGAAACACATGTAAGAAATACTTTCACACACCTCTCCACCTCTTATCTGTCAGTGATTTAACAGCCACACAAATTACTTCTGACCCATGCAGGTAGAGCCACAATTAGTTTAATTACACAGTGCAGGCTGTTGTTTAGTCAATTAGACTTTTCCTTCCATCCACAGCATTTTAATGACAGCCAAGTAGCCCCAAGGCTGGTGTGTCTTGTTCAGAGCTGTGACCAGCCCATCAGGGCACAGCAGACTCTGGGCTGGTTTTCTGTTGGAGCTTCCTGCATCCATGAGGATTGGAGGGTCTGGGGAAATGCTCCCTGTGGGAGCCTGGGGATTCTGGCAGAGTGCTGTCCCCACGTGGAGCCCACTCAGGGCTGGAGCATCACTGTCCTGTCCAGCTGGGTCAGGCTCATGCTTCACAGCCCTCTCTGCATGCTGCCCAAGGGGTGACACTGCAGTCACTCAATATTTTATGTCCTTTCCCCTGAAGACAGGTAATTGCTTCGTTGGAGAAGTCAGCACTCACAGAGGATTTGAGGAAAAAATTTAATTACCTCTCCAGATGAGGGAGCTGCTGGGTGATCTGCAATTCCACGCCCTTTTCCATCCTCTTGCATAAGGTTTGTGTTGATGATACCTGGGTCTGACCTGCAGCTGCTGTGCAATGTGCCTCTTCCACCAGCAGCTCACATCACTGTTAATAATGTGGCAGGTGAGGCTGGCACAACACCACAACCTCATCCAGATGAGAAGAAGGGGCATGAGCCAAATTCATAAACCATCACATAAATGGGACTTTCACATGAGGCAAGGACACATCTTTCAGCCCCCAGCCATGATTCCAGGAGGGCTATGGCAGTACCTCAGAACCCTGAAAAATTTTTGGACCTGCTGGGATCTGGTTGCATCTTTCCATGCAATTGCTTTGCCAAGGAGCACCTTCATTTTGTGTTATACATGCAGGAGGAATGGGACCAACTAGTGCAACAACCTATCTCCAGATGCCCACTTGGATTTTCTGTGGCTCCTCACCCCATGGGAGAAGGCAGGGTCAATGCTCCTGGCCACAGGCTGTGCCTCACTCACCACTTCTGCCATCACCTTAAGATTGTCCCTAAGGAAAGCAGGAGTCCGTGCCTCTCTTGAAAAATGCTAATGATGCAGCCTCTGAACCATTTTAATGCTCTCACTTAAAACCCATCCTGGTCCCTGAGAAGCTTCCCCAGGAAGAAGAGAGATGGCAGGACTCTTTTTTGGCCCTAGCAGACTGTCCTGACCCAGTCTGAGCCACCACAGCAGCATGAGGTTCAAGGCCAGGCCACATCCCACTCCCTCATGGCAGTGTCTGAGCAGACTGCACATTTCCAGACTGGGAT